TTAAATCTCAGTAATACTGAAGGAACAAAAATTATTGTTTTTAACCAGCATTTATAGTAGAATCTTTGTAAGATATTTAATCACTATTTATTTTGCCTTAATACTGAAAATCAAGAATTGAAAACAAAAAAATAGAACAAGTTATTGTAGTAAATCATCAGGTTATTTTTACCTCTCAAGAAACATCAGACGCCCAAGGAGAGAATTCCAAGTTTTAGTCAAAACGCTTTGTGATTTAGATAGTTTGTTTGTTTGTTTTAGAGCAAAGCCACGTTGGCCTATCTGCTTATGTCTACTGCGGAGAATCGAACCCAATATTTTAGCGTTTTTAGTCCGTAAACTCACCGCTATGTTTTAGATAGATAATAAATTTTGAAATAACGTAGTTTCAAAAAATACATTTCATAACTGTAACGCTAAATATACACATCAACTTTTAAGTAATTGTTGTATTTACAAATACATTATTTCTGATATGAAAACAAAATTTCGTTCAGATCGAACTTACAGAATTGCATATTAGTTACTTATAGGAGAATATTCCGTATTTGTGATATTATAGATGGCAAACTAAAAATAATATTCAGGTACATCTTATTATTCACATTCTTTTGTGAGTAAATGCTACATTATCTTTGATATAAAAGTTATATAAGATTAATATAAAACCTATTTGTATGTTGTTCACCGTAAAGCGTGAAGTGTCAACTACGATCAGTATTTTTGATGAGTAATCATATTTATTAATGAATATCTTATTATTTATATTCTCCATCGTGCTACAAAAATATTTTATGTCACAAAAATATGACCATTTTCTTCATTTATTTGCTTATGCATTTCTTAACATAATTTTGATTCAAAAATAACCATAAAAAATTATATTAGCCCATTGCCACGTAGCAATACCTGGAAAAATTTCCATTATTTATGGCATGTACTATGCTTTATACCAAAGGTTAAACGGACCTGAAAATACTTCCGACATTTCTTCAGTCTGTTAGCACTATAATTTGAGCTTCTATCCAAATTCTCTACTATATTCAGTCTTGGCCAAAATGTTTACACATTTTGTAACAAATGATATCATAATTATTAAAATGGAATACAAATACACTAACCGCTG